TTAATTGCCGCTCATAGCATTATTATAATTGTTTATTATCTTGGGTAATTTTATATCTTTTTTTTTTTTTTTTTTTTTATTTTATAAGGGAATAAAAAGAAATCAAAAGATTTGAAAAGACAATTTTGTCAAAAAACAATTCTGGTTGAGAAAAGAGCATTATAATTAAAGAGATAATTATAGATTGCCAATATTTATGAAATACCATTGTATGAGAAATTATAAGCAAACATAAATACTTGCATATAATAGTAGTAGCAGTGATTGCATGCGAAAGAAATATAGTAGTTTGAAGAGGAAAAAAGAATGATAAAAAAAAAAAATAGGTAAGAGAATACTTTTAAAATGTTACTATAACAATTATCAGTCATTGTATGATCAAATTATGATAACAGTGAAATATCAAAAAGTTTTTTTATTAGTGATAAAAGTCTCTAAATAACATTTTTTTTTTTGTTTATCATTTCATAGTTAAGCTACGATAAAAAAAATTAAAGGAAGAAAATTATTTTGTTAATGATAAAAAGCTGAGTTATATAATAATTTACTAGTTTAAATTTTCGAATTGTTTATATTTTATATTAAAAAAGAAAAAAGAAATATTTAAAGATTAAGCAAAATATCGGATGTGCTGGAAAAATGACGGAATATACGTTAGAACTTTCTTCCATTGCGCTTAATCCAACGTACAATGTGCTGTGGCGTTTTTGGTTTCGTAATATTATCACAATATTGTTACCATTTTTTTTGCTTGCTTTTTTTAATGGACAAATTGTCATCGTTTTACAACGAAATCAACATACAAATCAAACCGGTGATTTTGGTAAAAATCAAATTAAGGTTTACATTACTAATTATTATACATTAATTAATATTTATTAAAAAGAAAAGTAATTTATTATGCAGCTTATATTCTATTAATACTTGAATTTAAGACTGATAAAGAATTACGAGTTATCAATTTCGTCCTTTTTCTTTTTTTTTTTTACTTTTCTTGTTTGCTTATACGCAACAAATAATTTATAATATTTACAATTATAATATTTGTATAATTATAATACTTTTATATATAATGTATAATATATATAAAATTATTTCTAATAAATAAATAATACTAACAATTTTTATGAGAAAAAATGCTACAAAAAAAAAGGGTCTTTCCTTGTAATGCTAATTAAGAAAAAATGATAATAGATAGTTATTAGTTACGTTACAGATAATGAGAAAAAAAAAGATGAAAATACAAAGATTTAATTTTTTGTTTTTTATAAATTGATTTTTTAATTTTTAATTAAAATTTTTTTCATATAATTTTGAATTTAAAGGGTCGTGTACGAACGGCTACAAGAACGCTTGTATTTGTTGTTTTAACCTATCTTCTTTCCAATATACTAAATGTTATCATTACAATATGGGAATATATCGATATCGAAACTTTGATGGTGGAGCATACAGGATTATATATATTTTGCACTGATCTGGTTTGTTACCTTCCCTCAATCTAATGCATTACATGCTTTAATCCTCAATAATGAATGTAATAATAGTAGCAATGTTGACAGCAATAATAAAACCAGCAATAATAATAATAATAATAATAATAATAATAATAATAATAATAATAATAATAATAATAATAATAATAATAATAATAATAATAATAATAATAACAATACGGACAATAGTGAAATTAATAAGAAAAGCAGTGATGGCATTTAAAATAATTAAAATAATTCAATTTGAAGAAAAAAAATATTCGTTTTTTGTCAGTTATATTTGACGATTATTTCCTAACAAACAACTATCAACTGTTATTATTTATATTTGTATTTGAAGAAATTTAAATCTTACTATTCCTTAGAAGGAATGAGAATAATAATTTGTACTAATGAATTTATCAGTATCTGCTACGGTAATCAACAGTTATGTTAATTTTACAGCATTTTGATTTTAATTTTTAATTAAAACAAATATCTTTTGGTTTATTAATAGCACTATCCGGATGAATTTGACAGTCCAGCTATTCCCGATAGTTCTTAGGAAAAAAAAACAAAATTGTATTAGAATTTCAAATGAAATTTTAGGTGTCATTGTTTACAACTTTGGCTGGTTCATTACGATTATCTATTTATGCGATTTGTAATCCACAATTACGATTGGAATTTAAACAAGGAGCTTGTAAAATTTTTAAACTGCCATTGAAATTTAAGGTATTTTTAATTAAATGAATATTTTGAAATGATAACATGTTATTATTGATTAAAAAAAGTAAGCTAAAATATTTCCTTTCTAAAGCAAAAAATTAAAGTAAAATATTATAGTTGTGAAAAGTTCAAATAAATAATTGTATTTGTATAAGATTATAAAATAAAAGATATCAAATATTTAGGTATTATACCGCTGTGCTACAAACATGAAAATAATATTAGCATATCATATTAAGTCATTTTATTTTCTTCCCATTTATTAACAATTAGTAATTAATTTCCGATACCGTATTGAATTTTTTAATTGTATTCGGATTTTTCACTTTTTGATTCTTTTAGGTTGTTACTTTTCATGGTTTTACTTCACCCAATATGCCAAAGAATCGAAGAAAAGAATATAATGAATGTGTTACTAATTTCAAACAATGTTGCGCCTAATACTTATCAAATCAATCCAAAATCGCTTTTCATTGTTGTTCAGTTACGATCAATATTTGATAAGGATTATGATAAAATTTCGTCCTTTTTTTATATTATATTATGATTTAATTGTATTCATTATTGTCCAAATTTCATTTTCTATTGAATAATAAATTTTATTGCGGGTATTATTATTATTATTATTATTATTATTATTATTATTATTATTATTATTATTATTATTATTATTATTATTATTATTATTATTATTATTATTATTATTATTATTATTATTATTATTATTATTATTATTATTATTATTATTATTATTATTATTATTATTATTATTATTATTATT